GCAGATGACAACCAGACAGACTGTATTTTTTAAAACAAATTGCATATGGGCATTTTTATTTTTTGCCAAGTTCTGTTTAAAGGGGAACTCTAGTCAGATATAAATTCTCAAATGAATTCAGTTCAGTGCCTGGAGTTCAGCTTTATTATTTCTTTGATTCTAGATCCACTTGTTGAAGCCAGTACTTGCTCAATGGATTGTCTCCCTCTACTGGCCGCACATAGAACTCTTATAGGTTATGTAGGAAGACAATATAGAGGGTAATAAGGATGTGCATAGAGGGCAACTCTTGTCTTGAGGCAAACTATGCCCTCTCACCAATGGAGTCTCCTGGAGGAGACAAAAGACAAAGTTCTGTTCCTGCTTTCCACTAGTGGACACTGGGGACACAGCACAGGGATGCTGAATTCATGGATGGCACTGATTTTACTGTAGCATGCTTAGTGTGGATACTCCACAGTGCTAAGCCAATGTTTTGTTTGTTATACTTGTGGGTTGTGTGTTTTCCCACTTCTACTAACCTATCATTTCAGTATTGTCTGTACACAACCATGTCTCCAGCCTTTGGTAATACTGCAAATGCTATGTAATTTCCCATTCACAGTATGCTTATAACTCTGTTTACAAGTGCTTATTATGACCTTGTCCATATATAATTTAGTTTTGGACAATATTCCCAAGAATCCACAAAACTTCCTATCCAAGAAAGTCAATAATATCTCCCCATTCCCCTGATTCAGAAACAGCACTAAAAATATGGTTCTGGGTATCTGTGCTCAGCTGTGCCACTGTGGGACTTATAACGTGCTGTATGACCACGGCATTGTCAGCATTTATATATAGGTATGTGTCAATGTGAACAAGTAAAGCTCTTGTACAAACCCCAATTCCAGAAAAGTTGGGACTCTGTGTAAAATCTACATAAAAACAGAAATGCAATGATCTGCAAATCTCATAAACCCGTATTTTATTCACAATAGAAAATAGAAATCATATCAAATGTTCAAACTGAGGAAATTAACTATTTAAAAAAAATAAACTATTTATTTAAAAAAAAAGGTCATTTTGAAATTGATGGCGGCAACACGTCTCCAAAAAGTTGGGACAGGGCAACAAAAAGCTGGCAAAGTAAGTGGTACTAACAAGGAAGTGCTGGGAGAACTAAGGTTAATTGGCAAAAGGTCAGTAACATGACTGGGTATAAAAAGTGTGTCTCAGAAGTAAAGATGGGCCGTGTAATGCTCCCTTGGATTTTGAGGATTTAGTGGATCGCAGCTGCGGACCAAATCCTTATGTGGTTCCAGGTATGGCAATCAGGCTAGAATCCCAGGCGTCTCTCTCAATCTTAAACGGAGAGTGAGTGATTCATGCATCATATGCCACATAAACGTAAATATAAGGAGAGACCTAATAATGGTTATTCACCTCATGACCTTGTTAGGTATATTAGAATCAAATGAAATAGTACTGGATAATTCCAGTAATCAGTCTCTAGGTAGCTATGACAGATGAACAGTGTTAGATTAAACAGGTTCCGGTATTAGCCAGGTGTCAGCATATAGTAAGTTCAATTACAGCTCCAAGTAATTGCTATTCAGTACAAGCCAGCAGACTAGATAACATTCCCCCACAAATACCAGTACTTGTGCTTAGAGGCTGGTTTCCCTGAGTCTCCTAAGGATTGGAGTGAAGTTGGAGAGTCCAAATGTAGCAGGCGATCCTGGCTTGAAGAGGCTGTAGCTGGGAGAAGGGGAGTTGAGGCTCCTTGCGTGGATGGGGCATCAAACCCAATAGTGGAATGCTCTCAGGTGAGCCTTAAATAGCCGGCGAACGCGGAAGTGGAGACTTGGAACGTGCTGTCACTTCCGCGTTCCACCGTGGAACTCATGGGACCTCCCCTACAGGAAGGGAAGCTCCCAACGTGACGCGGCCGATGCGTTCCACGCTGGGACGCAAGCGGCCTTGCGGTTCGTGGAGACGTTACAGGCCGAGGTTCACCAATCTGTGAAGAGCTGGGTGTAAAAATTGTCAATTTCAGAATAATGTTCCTCAATGTAAAATTGGAAAGACTTTAAATATATCATCATCTACACTACATAATATCATCAAAAGATTCAGAGAATCAGGAGAAATCTCTGTGCTCAAGGGACAAGGCTGAAACGCAACATTGGATGCCCGTGATCTTCGGGTCCTCAGATAGCACTGCATTAAAAACAGTCATGATTCTGCGATGGACATCCCTGCATGGGCTCAGGAATACTTCCAAAAGTCACTGTATGTGGAGACAATTCACCGTGCCATTCAAAAATACAAGTTAAAGCTCTATCATGCAAAGTAAAAACCATATCTGAACATGATCTTGAAACCCCGCTCTCTTCTCTGGGTAAAAGCTCTGTTACAAAGTGGAAAACTGTTCTGTGGTCAAGCGAACCAAAATGTTACATTCTTTTTAGCAACCATGGGCACCATGTCCTCCGGACTTAAGAGGAGAGGCATCTTCAGGCTTGTTGTCAGTGCTCAGTTCAAAAGCCTGCATCTCTAATGGTATGGGGTGCATTAGTGTGTATGGAATGGGCAGCTTGCACATCTGGAATGGCGCAATCAATGCTGAAAGATATATCCAGGTTTTAGAGCAGCATATGCTCCCATCCAGACGACGTCTTTTTCAGGGAATGTCTTGCATATTTCAGCAGGACGATGCTAAACCGCATACTGCATCTATGGCAACAGCATGGCTTCATAGTAGAAGAGTCAGAGTGCTAAACTGGCCTACCTGCAGTCCAGACCTTTCACCAAAAATATTTGGTGCATCTTGAAACGAAAAACACCCCAAAGAAGACCCAGGACTGTTGAGCAGTTAGAATCCTATATCGGGCAAGAAGGGGACAACATTCCTCTCCCAAAACTCCAGCAACTGGTCTCCTCAGTTCCCAGACGTTTACATAGTGTTGTTAAAAGAAGAGGGGATGCTACACCGTGGTAAACATGGCCCTGCCCCAAGTTTTTTGAAATGGGTTGCTGCCATCAATTTCAAAATTATCTTATTTTTTTTTCTTAAAATGGTTCATATCTCAGTTGAAATATTTTATGTTTTCTATTTTCTATTGTGAATAAAATATGAGTTTATGAGATTTGCAAATCATTGCATTCTGTTTTATGTAGATTTTACAGCGTCCCAACTTTTCTGGAATTGGGGTTGTAGATGATCATGTAAACAAGGTATAACATTTGTCCCTCTCTTCCTCTCTCATTTAATATTGTTATACAATAGTTTCTCTATGTGTGTATACAGTATATACAAAGAGAGACAATAAAAATATTAGTAATGAGAGAGGAAGAGAGGGACAAATGTTATACCTTGTTTACATGATCATCTACAAGAGCTTTACCTGTTCACATTAGCACATAGCTAGTTTCCACAGCAGCACGTTGCATGTAATGTAAGTGAATAAGAAGTTAACCTCATGGCAATTTTAGGTAGACCTATACTACAATGATAACTAAAAGAAAACCAATCCCAAGCCGTCTTTCTTGGGATTTGAATAATCAGTCTAAACGTATCATAGACATGCAGCGCTTTCATGTGAAAGATTTACATTTGCCCTATTTTAGCTTTATTTACTTTGCCTGTGTCAGCTTTTTCTGTTTGAGTAATGGAGTGAAGTTTGCCATTTGCTGCCCAGTGATCTGCCCGACCTAACATTCTGTCCTCAAGCTTCGAGTGTATTGTGTGTGAGGTCAGGCAGTTGGGAGGTCAGCAACTTAAGGTGACCCCTGAACCCAATTTAAACATAGATTTTAACATAGTATGTAAAGCTAAGAAAGGATGCAATTATAATAAATCTTTTTATATGTAAGCTGGCATTGTTATAATATTTTAAAACTAAACAATCAGATTCAGTCATAATTCCAATTGTGACTGGATCTCTTTTTAAAGCAGGACTCCGGATATAAATATACTTACACTGGTCCGGTGTGGCCTAATGTATGTATATATACTTACGCAGCTACTATAGTGCTTTACAGCGATCTTACGTGTCCTACACAGCCACTTTGCTGAGCAACTTCTCCTCTGCTGTAAAAACAGTCTGGTCGCTCACTCAGCACAGTGGCCATTCAATAAGCACCTAGAAATTTTATGAATGAGTACTAAGCGTTCTCTGATTGGACAAGGGGCAGTGCCTTGATGTCACCACCCTTCATCCATTCAATGAACGCCTAATATTAATTCATAAAAATAAATATTTATACTTGGAGTTTAGCCTTAACAGCCATCAAAAAAAGGGTAAGAAGAAGGGCTAAAAAAGAGAGAAATGCTGACTTTGGTCTCTTTACTGCAGCTCCAGTGCTGCTTCCATAACCAAAAGGCCAGGAAACTGGTCACATGATCTCTGTTGAAGGGGAGGATTGGTCAACCAAGGCTTTTTCTTGTGTGGCAACCTGGAACAGGATTTTCTCCAAGGTAAATATTTTAGAGCTTCTGTTACTGTTTATATATCTACTCTAGCAAGATTATTCAAGCAGACCTGAAAATGCAAGGTCCACTTATTGCCTTGCACCTCACCCCTAAATAAAAAAAAATGCAAATTAAAAATATATTTTTTTAAATTAAACATAATGGAAAAAAAAATTGGCTTTTAATTGACTACTTGGCATCCTCAGCTTTTCCAAGATCCTGCCAAATGGCAAAGTGATAGCACTTCCGCCTTCAATGTTTTGAATTCACTGTTCTTATTTGGGGGATGGAAGTGGGAGCTAGGCAATAAGGTCATCGTGCATCTTCATGCAAGGTTTGCTTTATCATAGTTTTATATCAACATTTGCGTTTAGGTGTCCTTAAAACCCTCATGTGTAGCTGCCACCCTGTAAGTATGTTACAATGTAATCATTTTGTGAAAGTTTTTAAAAATATAAGACAGACTTATATAATGTAGTAATTGTTTACATACAATAATATCAAAGTTTAATATTATTAAATGGAAATGTATTTTATTTTTCAGAATGATGAAAGCAGTCAGCCAGTGGAGGTAAGATTATTTTTCACCTTAGCTTTTGTATTGTACAGACATATAAGATAACCCAAAATATATTTAGTTTTTTTAAGATGATGATGATTATTATTAATATCATTATTATAATTATATTTAGAATGGAAGCGATGCCCTACTCAGTATTAGTGAGGAAGTCCAGAACATCAAACTAGTAAGTAAAAGATATATTCTTGTCTATTTTACTTGCAAAGTGTTATCCTACTGCATACACTGATATACACTTATATTTTGAATATCTACACTGAGTGGCCAGATTATTATGGCCAGCTGACGTTTGTAGGCAAATTAGCTCTAATTAGCTATAATTTTGCGCTGAAGTTGCTAGAGGGCCAGACCCTTATAAATAGGGAAGCAGGTTGTTTACCACGACAGTAGACATGATTTCTTTCTGAAGATATGGGTAAACAACGCGATTTAACAGCCTTTGAACGTGGAATGATTGTTGGCGCGGAGCCATGGAGCGAGTATCAGCAAAACAGCAGAATTCGTTAAACGTTCAAGAGGGGATCATTGTTAAAGTGTTTAAAGACTGGACTGTCAGCCGAAAATCTGGGTCTGAACGTGCGAATTGTGGCCGTCAGCGACTAGTCAATGTTAGGGCAGAACGGAGAGTGGCAAGACTGGTACAAGACAACAGAAGGGCAACAGTGCAGTGTCAGATTCCTCGCATCACCTTTCAATATCTCGTGGAGTCACGAGGCGGCCCAACAAAGTCATCCCGTGGAGTCATCTCGTGGCCCAACGAAGAACTGATGGGGTGGTCATAATAATCTGGCCACTGAGTGTATATTAGTTTACAGAAAGATAAATGGTCTGAATTTTGAATTGGATCACATGGAGCAGTGCTCAAGTAGAATTTATCAAATGAGAGCCACCAAAACTTCCACACAGGTCCACTGTTACTGCCAGATGTGTTGCCTAGTATGTGACAGTGTGATCAAGTCTAAAAGGAGGACCTAGCTAAGAAAGACACCCCCAGATACATTGGATGTAGGCTGTCGAGCATCTACATGTTTTTGATGTATGAAAAGGAAGTTATGGATAACTTTGGCCTATGAACAAAATAATTGATTGGACATAATTTAAAATATGGAGGAGTCATGGGGTTTTTGAATATCAACTCTAAAATATAATGGAGAGCCGAGACATTATTAGTATGCATGAGTCAGACAAGTGTTTTAGGAAAAACGTTTTAAGCATTCAGATCACAATCCCGTCTAACTTAATTTCTATGTTGGTTGATCAACCTGGTCTTTCTCTTCAAAACATGGATGGAGCGCTGTGAATATTTTCTTCTTTAATGATTATCAAATCAGGGTTTTTAATATTTTCTCATGCATAAATAAAAGTGAACGTATATTAAACTGGACCCTGCAATAAAATGCAAGGTCCGCTGTTATGGCTGCTATTTATCCCCTGCTGTCAGTGTTGCATTATGGAAGTTGAATAAAAAACACTTTGAGAGAAAATCATAAAACACACTTACCTTACTCCCAGTCTTGCATGGGTGAGATGACATCTTTGGGTAGTTTTGAGGGATCTTGGGAAAGCTGAGGATTCCAAATCTTTTGAGAATACACTCCTATACAGTGCTGTGGAATCCATTTATGAGAATTGTCATCCTGAGCTTTCCCAAGATCCTTCTGTGAGGCCCAGTTACATTAGCGACAGGAAGCAGCTGGAATTTGGGAGCAAGGTGAGCGTTTATAGCATTTTCTTTCATGTGTTTTTTTTTCCCCCTCTAATGCAGTGTTTTGGTCCACTGTAGGTATGAAGCTGATAAACTATTAGGAAGACTGAAAAGCAGACAACTTGAGATTCTTACACATGCATGTGGCATGAAGAGCCCCCCCCCCCCCCAGGAGCCCCAAACCCCAGGGCTCTTTTTTATAAAAAACGA